GGGGCCCGGCGGCGCGGAGCCAATGGGCGGCCGCAGGCGGTTGCCAGGGCCCGGCGTCCCGGCGACATCATGGCGGCCATGCGGCCCGGCTCCTACTCGGGTGGCCTGAGAATGCGGCGGCGGGATGGTGAGCGGGGGCTGCGCGGGGGGCGTGCCCCGACCCTGCGCTGCTCTGCGCTGCTCTGCTCTGCCCCGCCTCGCCCCTCCGCGGGCCTCGGGGCAGGGTCCGTTTGGGGCAAGGAGCTCGTCCCTGGAGTCGCCTCTCCCATCCGGCCTGCGTCCCCGGCACTGGAAAACTTTGCAGGAGGCCGGGAGAGGCAGGGCTGCGCTCCCGCCCGGGCTGAGCCACGTGGGGCTGCGGAGCCGTTCGGAGCGCAGCCGTGGCTCTTCGCTGCCTCCCACCACCCGGCGGCTGCTTCAACACTCAAAACGCTTTGAAACTTTCGAAACGTTTCGACTGGCCGCCTTTCGTTTTGAGGCTGTTCTGAAGCCCTTCGTTTCGTTTGGATTTTGCTGTTTCACGCTCGAAGCGAGTTCAAATGAAACAGGTGGCGTTGCTTCGCACAGCCTAGCTGCCTGAATGCTAGATCCCAGGGGGTCAATAGATCTGCTTTGGTGAGTCTGCGACAGGGGCAAACAAAGTCCGTCCCCAAGGCCAGATGGGGCCCGTTGGCAGAGTCCATTTCCCAGCAGCCCGTGCCTGCATCACTGTGGCGGTTTCAGTGGAGACCCCAGGAGCAGCAGAGCCATGACAGTACAAGGCTCAGGTTTCCACAGAGACTGGCCCCAACAGCACTGGCAAGGTGCACAGTTGGGGAAGGAGCTGCTCTGGGTCCAGGATCTTGCAGCAGTGACAGCATGGGCCAGAGCTGCAATCTGCTGCCCACACGCCCTGAGCAGGGACATGCAGGCAGCAGATCGTGGCTTTGCACTGGCTCTGGACCACACTGTCACTGCTGCATGATCCCAGCCCTGGTCCCAACCCAGCCAATGCTGCTGAGGCTGATCTCCATGGAAACCCTGGCCCTGCGCTGTCATGGCTCTGCTGCTCCTGGGGTCTCCATGGAAATTGGCCATAACCACGCGGGCAGAAGCTGCTGCAAAATGAAGTCTGGCCAGATCCGCCATTTTGCCCACCCCAGAGCTACAAGGTACAAATTTTCCCTGCCTTCCATATATGAAAAGGCAGTGTTGGATTTAAACTTAATGGAGCCACAACCCTAGAACCAAACAGGCCTGATTTTAGAAACTCTGAATCTCAATTTTTCTATTTTGGGGAGGGATGTGGAGAAGGAAAGAAGGTGAATTTACAGACACGACCATTAAGCACACACGTCTGCTCCGGTCTGCCCTCTGCGAAAAGTGCCAGCAAAGTACATTCAGCTAACTGGTGTTTGGGAAGAATGAAACATATTGTTGTCTTTGCAGTATTTTAAATTCAACCTCAGATATGTTTCAGTTTAATGATAGAAATAATCAGGCTTGCCAGGCTCTCCCGAATATCAAATGCACAACTGAGAAAAAAATAAATAAAAGTAACCCACTTTAATTTTGTTAAATCTCCACACTTCTGAACTGCATCCAATGCCAGCATGGTTTCCTGCCAGCTCACCTGCTAGGCTGTTTGCTAATCTCTGGCTCTTGCCCCACAGAGTGCCCTGTAGCTGGGGAACCAAGGCTTCTCTGCTCCCTACAGTGGAACCAGGGGTCTGGAACTTGACACAAGGCTCTTAGGGCTTCTGAGCGCCCAGCTTCTTGATGGAGATTTAATGTTTGCCTCCCACTTCAGTGGAGGATATCAGCAGGGTTTCCCAAGAACTGTTGCATAGTGATATTCTGGGTCACCCAGCCACAGTGGCACTTCTCTATGTAAGACAAGCCTACCTTTCTGCCGCCACCATGACACGGCAGATGAACATGCACACCCAGACAGCATGGGCTCTAGAGGTGCTATGCAGAGTCATGTAGTACCATACTGTTACGATTATAACAAGCCAACTGTGATCTTTTTATGGGAAAGTATGTAATACTCAACAAAACCTGTGTTTATTTTGGTGTATATTTTTAACGGTAACAGATTTAAAAATATGTTCAAAGCTATACAAAAACATACAGGAAGAAGACACCCAGGTCCCTTTACACTTGTATTACCAGTCTATTCAGCATTCAAGCACAACTTTTTATTATTCAGCTAGATATTGCTTGGTATTTCACTGTTTTGTCTATTATCTTTTTTCTTTTCAGGATATGGGCTATATGTTTATCCTAATACCTTTTTCCAGTATGAAGGAGAATGGAAACAAGGAAAAAAACATGGTAAGGGGAGATTAACTTTCCATATTATACTGAAGTGAATATTTATGGTAATTTTTATTATTTTTTATTTACTGCTGTAACTTGTTTAATTTTAAGAATGTCTTTAGAAACATTAGTGTAAACTATAGCTGAAGCAATGTATATGTTGTGTGTGTCAGTGTAGCAACTGAAGCATAAACACCAGACTATTACTATACTTTGTCATAGGCAATGAAGTGTAGAAATTTAAAGGAAAAACATGTGAGACAAGTTGTGCTCACTTGCTCAAATGAAAACATCTTCTCTTCTTCCTGAGTTAGATGTACCGCACATACCTCAATAGGTGATTAACTTGCCAAAAGTGTGAGATAAGAACATCATTGTTTAAATTAAGTTTTTTTATCATCTTTAAGGAATAAGTAGCTCTTGACTAGTCTCTAAAATATGTATTTTATTTTACTATGGCAACATAAGACAAAAATGGTGTTTTCTTGCTTTTATCTTTGAACAAATACTTAACATTTGGTGCATAGTATCAACACCATACAGTTGCTTGCAGACTTGCGTGAAAGTAAAGTTTTTGTTTTCAAAAGGTTACAAAAGTGGAAGTGACATTTAACCTAGTAGAACTAAATGGAAAAAATATCCATTTCAGTAGGGCCAGGATTTTCACCTATATGTAGGAGACTATTTTGCACTTATTATGACACTTTCTTCAGGAGTCTCTTAAGTACAATGTCAGTGAATGCTAGGAATAGATTGAAGTTCTTCAAATACCATTACAAAACATTTAATTTTATCTTCTTTCAACCTGTATGTAAATTAAATAACAGAGGGGAAGAAATTTGGTCAAAATCTCATTGTGTTATACACAGAGTGAAGATCAGAATTCAGAGGTCCTGATTCTCCATGTGCTTCACAAATCTTTATACACAGTATCTCTGAAGACACTGTAATTTGAATTTATTATTCAGGGAACATTTTAACTACTATATCATTTCCTAGGTCATGGCAAACTATTATTCAAGGATGGAAGTTATTATGAAGGCGAGTTTGTGGATGGTGAAATTTTGGGGAATGGATTGCGATATTGGGCATCTTCAGGTTAGCATTTTTCATCACAATACATTATGTTCATTTAATACACCTTTATCTTCATGTGGTACATACTGAGTGTACAGGAAAAAATAATGTTTTGTAATTAACCACCCTGCTTTGATGTAATTGCGTTGTTCAAGGCTTGGAGTGTAAATTCATATTTTTCAGGCTTCCCCACATAAGCAGTTTCAAGATAGATAGTGTTGATTTTTAATTTGCTCTTAAGAGGTGCCTTTGATAGTGGGTGACAGCAGGTAGTACTGTAAACCAGAGGCATGTGATTTCTCTCTTACATTTGATATTAAAAGTCTCAGTCCAAAAAGGATCTCCACATAGACAGATCTCCACACCCATATGGAGTTACACAGAGGGTCAGGGCTGAAGACTGCACAGAACTAAACCCACTGTAACCAGCTGTCCCCAATATCGACAAATCTTATGCCTGTTTCTTCACACAGCTTTGTCAATGGACATTTCTTTGTTGGCATATTGCTGCTTTTCTAGTCTTGTGTCTTACTTGAGTAGAGGTATGGTCCTCTGTAAAGAGCAGCTCATGAAAAATGGCATAATTTCAGCTGTAAACATGGACTAGCTAGCATGTCCAGTACTGCCCCAGGAGTTGCTCTAGGAGTTGCTGTGGCTCCTTATGGCTTGCTCATTGCTCTTAAGGGTAAGTCAACAACTTCCTCCACATTCACCTAACCTGTAATGATTGGCAATCTTTGGTCAGTATGGAAAGGACAGGTACCACGTTTATGCAATTAATAGATCAGTTATATTAAACTATATAGTTATATATCATTATGTAGGCATATACACACTGGGAAATTAATTGTACAGAACTGTATTTTTAGCGCTAGGCTTCTGATTTCCCAGGCTTCAATATAGAAGATTTGAATGACTACATGCCATCAAAAAGCTGTTAAGTTGACTATGAAATTAAAGTACTTTTTATACATTCCTTAACCATAAAAGAACATATTATGAATCTTTTTTTAACACATCACTGACATCTTTTAAGGTGCTTCAATTTTAAAGACCTGAAGGAATATGGATTATAATTCATTAGTTTTAAGATAAAGATCTAATGAACAGGTTTCTTTTTCATGAGACTGTACTGATAATAAAAATAACTTATTAATTATTCACTTTGTCTTTTAAAATGCTTTCTACTACTGCTGTGCAAGTAAAGTACAATAGGAACCATTATTAGTGTACTTTCACCTTAAAAATTATAAAACTGCATTTGACAAAGGTGTTTCTGCTTCTTTTTAAATTTTACTTTCTCATGTGTCTAATTCAAGGAAACACTTACTCAGGTCAATTCATGTTAGGAGAGCTCCATGGACATGGAGTCATGCAATACAGAGATGGTGGGAAATATGAAGGAGAATTCTTTTGTGGAATGAGAGAAGGTAGGTTAGAATCTCTGAGCAAGCTTTGATTAAAATTTATTCTAATGTGACTGAAGTCCTGATAATTGCTATTACTATAGAAGTGCCTATAAACTAACCTAGAACAGGCCATTGTTCTAGGCATCAAACTAACACAGCGTAGTATACATTCTTTGACTCCAGCAGAGGCATGTCATTTGTTCCCCTGACTTCGATAGGACTATGCACATGTTTAACATTGGGCATGTGATTAAGTATTTTTCTGTGAGTGAACTTATTTGGTATTGGAGTCAGCATCTTCAGTGTTTGTCTCCCCTTGACTTTTATGAAGAATGTTTCAAGCATAGCAAACTCCATTTAAAAATCATTTAGGAAAGGTTATATTATATTTTATCTTTTTTTGAGAGGTTAAGAACCAGTGTAATTCATCTGATTGGAGGCCTGCAGGAAGGCCCTACCAGGAAAGGCTAAGGGACCTTAACCTCTTCAGCCTCTCCAAGAGAAGGCTGAGAGGGGACCTTGTGGCAGCATGCAAATTGATAAGGGGAAAGCAATATGAAGTAGGCAATGATCTGTGTACCAGGGCACCCACTGGAACAACAAGGAACAATGGCCATAAGCTACTGGAGAGTAGATGTAGACTGGACATGAGAAAAAAGTTCTTCACGGTCAGGGTTGCCAGGATCTGAAATGGGCTTCCAAGGGAGGTGGTGCTTACCCCATCGTTGGGGGTCTTCAAGAGGAGACTGGACAGGCACCTGGCTGGGATCACATGATCCCAGGTTTGGTGTCCCTTTTCTTGCCTGCCAGGGGCAGGGGGTCGGACTAGATGGCCCACTGAGGTCCCTTCAGACCCTAAAATCTATGAATCTGTGTAACCCAAACTGGAAAGCCCATTTGTATGTTTATTCATCTAGATACAGGTGGCATTGCAAACTAGATACAGGTGGCAGCAAAACCTATTTATGAGAGATTTTAAGGCCGAATCATACAATTAGTTACCCAAGTGAATAATTCTACGCATTTAGTCATGCAATTATTCTCACTGATATCAAGCTACTCCCCTTTGTAAGTATGTGTTAAATGGGGTCCATTGAATGTTCATATTTTTTGAGCTGCAGCCATTTACTGGAGGTTGCCCAGCCAGTTGATTTCAGTGAAAATAATTGCAATGTGTAAAATCAATCACGTGCATCTTTGCCTATTAGATTGGAACTTTAGTTTGTATAGTACCTAGTACATTTTGAGTGCTGTTGAAATTTAATAAATTGGATAAATGATATCCAGCCTGATTTCTACATCAGCAAAGTTGGGAAAAGCTTCGTATAGTTTAAGTCCCAACCAATTTTTTGGATTTTCTCAGACTAGTATCAAATGGATGTGCCCTCCATTTGAAATGGGATATTTTTTTTCTAGTGTAGTTGGAGGGAAAAAAAATTAAAATCCACAGACATGGCTTCTGAGTTGTCAAGGGGTTTTAATACAAATGAGAGGGTATTTCCTGCCTCTGGCCGTGACATTTTGGTGGTAGCTGTGCTGAGGCATGAAGGAGGGTGGGTGTTAGGCCCTACTGTCATCCTTGTGTTAGGAATGAGAGGGGAGGGTGTTTGGCTTTTTTAAATGTCGACTGTTCATATCCCATTTCTTTTTTGTTCAGGATATGGGTTACTGGTTGACAGGGAAGGACAAATTTATCAAGGATCTTTCCACAAAAATAAGAAGCATGGAGGAGGTAAAATGACCTTCAAGTAAGTTTTGTTTCTGGCTTTGGTAGCCTGTTGGTCTTTTTTCAGAACATGGCAATGTACCATTCAAGGTTTTGATAAATGAACAAAAACTTAGTAACCTTCTTAGGTTAAAACTCACCCCATTGTGTCAACATCTACCAGTTCACATGTTGCGGTATAAAAAAATACACTTTGATTTGGATCTTTCTTGGTGCTGGCAGTCCTTCAATATGAGGATAACAGTAGGATCTTACTGGAGATCATATACTTGCCTCTTGTTTTCTGAATCTTGTTATATTTGTGTTAAAATTCAGACTTTTAATGCCATGTTTTGTATTTTGTTGTGCTTATTTTATTCAGTCAAAACCAGGAAAAAATCTTTGGAAACTTGAGATTTTAAACAATTTTGAAAATACATTTGTTAGATCCATTTGAAGTCAGTGCCCACTGCGCTGGTAATAAATAATTGTACATAGATGATTAAAAAAATTCCATGCAGGTTCTTACACTATGAAAACTTGTGTGAGGTTTAAAACTTTATTTCTGTCTCTTCTGAGGTATTGCTCGGACTTCCTGGGAACAGAAGCAAGGCATAATTTTGATCAGTATGGTATAAAGTCTGTGTATTACTTAGATGCTGGAACATGGATACCAAGGCCACATGTACTACTAACAATCTTAAAATATATCCTCAAGAAATATATAATCTGCTAATCTAAGTGAAATAAATTGAAATAGAATGAATTCCTGAGAGAGATGGATTTATCCTAAAGCAGTTGTTTTTGCAATTACTTATAAATCTTGCTTGTTTTTCTATTGTATCCCGTTCAGCTGTGCCCATAACAGAACTAGGCTGATCTCCAGAGGCACATTATTCAGGCACATTTGTTGTTTGTAGATGAAAACCTTTAAAAAGTACACTAAATATGATATATTTAAAATGAAGGCCACTCTGACAGTCAAGCATGATTTTTTGTTAATGATATTCTTCAGGAAATACTAAGCTAAGCTTTTTTGGCCAGAATTTTAAGCTCTGCTCTTTTATTTGCAGAAATTCTGTAAGCCTTTGACTTTGTGGAGCCAAGAGATAGTTCAGCAACCAGATTAATTTACACTTTAGACATGATCTGTAGCCCTCTGAAGTCACTAAGAGTCTTACCAGAGACTCCAGTGGATTTTGGATTAGGCTCTGTGCCTGCGCTTTGCACTCTGTGAAGCTTGGCATGCCTCCCTAATTGCACTATGCATGGCCCATACTGACCATATACCTATGCATGTATAAGTACACACAAAATGAATAGCAAGATCACAGGAAGCTTGACAGTAGAATAGCAGATGATCAATCACTATGTAATAGGAAACTACAGAAGTCTCCCATTTTATGGGAGTGGTTAGAGTCTGTTAACAGGTCTTCTTCATAGATCGTCATGTTGAACTTGTTTTGTATCTTTGTCTTACTCTTGATTTCAAAGCTAGCTGCAGCTTATCTTTTTCCTGTGACCCAAGAGTTGCTCTCCCTTTCCTGCTGCTGAGTACCTCTTAGAAAGCACTTTACATTAAGGGCTGTGCGAAGCTCTGCCAGCTGTTTCATTTTCACGCTTTTTCAACTCGTTTTGAGCTCGAAAACTGAAATGAAACGAAGGGCTTCAAAACAGCTTTGAAACAAAACAAGGCCAGTCAAAACTTTTCGAAACGTTTCAAATTTTGAAGCGGCCCAGTGCAGGGAGGCCGGGGAGAGTCAGGACTGCACTCTGAGCAGCATTGCAGCCCCATGTGGCTCAGCCTTGCAGAGAGTGCGGCCCTGGCTCTCCCCGCCTCCTCGGCTGTGGTGTAGGGCCTGGGGCAAATCAGCTTGTGCAGAGACCTGCCCCTGCCCCGATCCCAGGGTGGGGGCAGGTTCCTGCATGAGCTGATTTGCCCCATCCCACCTGCTGCTGGCTGGGGCCAACAGCAGCACCAATCTTCCCAGCACTGGCTATGGGCGAAATGTCGAAACAGCTTCGAAACAGCCAAAGAGTTTCAACGAAACGAAACGGACGAGTGCTTTCAAAATAAAATGAAACTCAAAATGAGACACTGTTCTGTCGAAATGGAAGTCAAAGTGGAATGATGCTGTTTTGCACAGCCTTAGTTTACATGACCAGACACCAGCAAAGGGAATGAAGAAGAAAGGTCTTATACAGAACTAGTCAGTGCATATTATAATCTTTCTCCTTGGTACAAAGATGGGAATGCAGGTGTGGAGAATCATCCTAGGTCCCTGGCAAATGTTCAGTTAAAGACACAATGGGATGTAATGTGGGATCCCCACAATCCTGCTTCCTGCCATGATCTCAGGCTCCCCCTGCACCAGCAAGTAGCAAGCTCCCATGGCTGGAAGCCCCATCAGCTGATCTAGGCTCCCAGCCACTGGGGCATGTGGTGCACCCCTGAGGCTGGGAGCCCCATTCTAGCCACACATTAGTTAAAGACATGATAGGAATCAGCCTCAAAGTTATTGCACATGTTTTTTGTAATAACTTTGTGGTTTATTCCTTGTTTTAGCGCACCATTAATTGCATTAACATGTGTCTGGGTAATGAATTAAGATGTGATTAACTGGTTAATCACGTCTTAAGTGTAATGCATGCCAGGGGCCCTAGGGGCAGCGGCATTTGAAGACTGTGAGTTTTGTCTTGTTAACTTCCTTGTGACAATGTTTATCTGCTTCATCTGTTTATGTTAATGGCTTCTCCTGCTGCTTCACAAGCCCCAGCTTTCCATGGTAGTCCAGTATATTATCTGCAATGTAAAAAACCTGTTTTCCTTTATAACTTTTCTTTTTACTTTAGGAATGGTGATAAGTATGAAGGAGACTGGATCCTGGACCAGCGACAAGGTCATGGGGAACTGCACTGTGCCGATGGAAGTATATATGAGGTATAAAAATAAAAGTTATGAGAATTGGTAACAGTGTAACTTAGGAAAGTCCAAAAAAATCCATTTTGAATCTTTATCCTATCCTCCAAGGTGTCAGAGATTCTGATCAAACAGGCCTGACTAAGTCAAACACTTGAGTAACCACACCTGCCCCTAATCCCTGGCTAATGCGACTGCCCCAGTTTTGTGCAACCAGATTGGCTGCTGAAAGCGACACTCACCCCTTTTAAATATACCTGCATTGTCAGGCTGTAGGCATGCCTTGAAACAGCCTCAGCCCGTTCTGTTAAGCCTCACATGCACTGGTTTCTTTGGTTCTCCTGACTTCCAACTTGACTTTGGCTTTTCCTGACCCTGAGCTCAAATCTTGCCTGAAATTCAGCACTGGTCCTGCTGTCTCTGGTGTTCCTTGCATCTTGATTCGGCTTGGCTTCCTAGACCCTGAACTCAGATCTTCCCTGGAATTTGGCACTGGTTCTCTGACCTCTGGCTCCAGACCTTGGTTGGTCTCTCAGATGTACCCTCTCAGCTCCCTTGAAACTTGGTCCTACAGTCCCTGCTCAGGTAACCTGTGTCTGCTTCCTGCTGATCTCCTAATTGCCTCTCAGAGCCCATCTGCAGGCCTGGCTGCCTTCCTCTTGGCTGAACCCTCACAGCAAGGTGCACGTTACAACATATGGTGGTATGCAGGATCAGATCTACCACCAGGGCAGATTTCTGGGGGTGAGCTGATGGCTGCTTTACAGGGGCTGCAAACCCAGATTACAGCTCTGCAAGCCCAATGTACCCTGCTTCTGCACCCACTGGGAGAACTAACCCACTCATCTCACCCCAAACCCTGAGTCCTGCTGCCCATCAGATTTGATGGAGACCCTCACTGCTTCCAGCAGTTCATTACTCAGGGCCACCAGCAGTTCGTTAATCAGTGCCACCTCACTTTTAGTCTCTGCCCTAGAACATACCTTTCATATACAATCAAGGTGAAACTGATTATCAGTCTACTGAGTTGCAATACCCTGGTGTGGGCTTTCCAACTTTATCTGAACCACGGCCAAAATTTTTGGCAACCTGTATTGGGTCTGTACTGCAGAATGAGTGCTCCAGACCCTCAGACAAGGGCATATTCCAGTATCAAGTTATGCAGCTGTGTTTACATGGTTGGTAGCTGACAAGGAGTGCAATGAGGTGGGTCAGCATTTCCACTTCCACCACGGACTTCAGGGCCACATTCAGGATGAATTTTGACTTGGGGTGGAGCTCCCAGCTACCTTGGACAGATATATTGATCTTCATATCCATATTGTCGCCCATCTGCCTGAGTGACAGGAAGGTTGGGCTGAATCTCAGCCCTTGGGGCTGGCTAGGGCCCTGAAAGAGCCAACACAGTAAAGAAAAGGCTCCCTCAGAAGAGAAGGCTTGTTATCGTGTCCAGGGCCTCCGACTGTATTGCAGGGAGTCCAGGCATTTTGCCTGAGGAAAGGAATGCTTGCCTCCTTTTCAGGACACTCCCCAGCCCAGCCTCAGTGGCAGGACATAGTCTGGGCCCATTGCTGACCATTTAACTAGCCTCTCTAATTCACAGTAAATTCTTGAGTGCCACCAAACCCCAAGACTTGTCCTTGCTCATCACCCTTCACCTACATCACCTGCCTGGGGTGGATGTCTTTATGCTAGTTATTTTAGACACAGAAGCCTCCAGTAATTTTAAGGACTCAACCCTCACTATCATGCTGTGGCCTTGAACCTTGGCCTGACACAGCCACTCATCCTGGTTTGCCACCTCCTCAGCAGAGCATTGGGTTGGGCACAGGTGGCTAACATGCCCACTCCCTGCTGCTAGAGTGGCCAGCTGGAGGCATCTGACTCCTCATCCCTTCCAATATAAACCTTTGACTCAGAAGAGGAAGTGTCTGGGCAACAAGGCTTAACTTTGTACTTAGGCTGCTGCACCCTTGGCTCATGTTGCTACTCACTGACTGACAGATTCCTTGGATACTGGGCCCTGACAGATTTCTTTATTTCTGGGCCCTGATTGCCTCCAAAAGGAATTGCAATATTTGGGACCTGGAACTCTTCATGATCAAGGCAACCTTTGAGGACTGGTGGCATTTCTGGAGAAGCTTACCACCACCTTCTCCAGGTAATGATGGACCATAAAAACTTGGAATATCTCTAGATGAGAACTGAATTCACAACAGGTCTGCTGGTCACTCTTCTTTTCCCATTTTTATTTCATAATTGCGTATCACCCAGGGACCAAGAACCAGAAGGTAGATGTCCTATCCATAAGGATGAACCCTTTGCACTAGACCTATTGCCACCATCTACCATTCTTCAGCCTAAGAACTTCATTTAGGGAACTACTCAGCTAAGCATCCTTTCAGCCATTCAAAAAGGCTTCATAGATGACCCCCTTGTTAAAAAACTGCCACTTAATGGGGCCATCCCAACCTACTGTTCAGTGGCTCAGGGGGGTTCTTTTTCCTGACAGCACCTGTATATCCTGGACAGAATATTACAGTTTTGTCCTGACTTCCCTCCCATGGGTTGCTTTCTACTTACCAAGACCCAGTTCTTAGTCTCTTGGCAGTTCTGGTGGTCCTGAATGAGTCATAATGTTAAACAGTATGTCTATTCATGGACTAGATGTGCCTGAACCAAGGAACCTGAAACCAGGCTGGAAAATCTCCTCCAACCATTACCCACTCCCACACTACCCTGGTCAGTGCTTTTGGTGGATTTCATTGTGGACCTCCTGCATTCTGAGCATTGTTCCAGAATTAATGGACATGGCGAATGTATTAACTAAGATGGCCCATTGTGTCCCTATCTAGGCTGTCCCCACTGCCAGCAAAATGGCCCATCTATTTCTGAGAGAGACGTTTTGCCTACACAGCTGTCCATCTCAGGTGCTCTCTGATCATGGCCCCTAGTTTGGCACTTTTGGCACAAGTTCTGTAAGGCCTTGTGTGTGGAATCTCTTCACTTGTCCACATATTACCCTCAAACTCACGGTCAAATTGAGTGCATAAATCAGACCCTTGAGCAATACCTCAGATGCTGTTTATATTTTCATCAGGATAATTGGGTAACCTTGCTTCCGCTAACAGAATTCTCATACAACAATACCATCCATACTTCCACAGGCTCAACCCTCTTTTTCTCCAACTACTGATACCATCCTCAGTTTCAACCAGCACTGCCTACTTTCTTATGGGTCCCTGCAGTGAACGGCCTTGTATTGCATCTCCCACAAAATCAATAAGAGCTAAAGGCTCATCTCAATGCAGCCAAGACCATGTATAAAAACCAAGCTGACTAACACCATTAGCTCAGCCCCACCATTTCAGTCAGTGACAAGGTGTAGCTCTCTTCAAAGAATATCAAGACCCTGAGACCATCAGCCAAACTGGATCACCATTATCTGGGCCCATTCAAGGTTGTGGAACAAATAAGCCCTGTTGTATTCAAGCTCCAGCCACCAGAGACATTGAATGTACCCCACTTTCTGTGTATCCCTACTCAGACCTTTCATCGAGATTTCCTTTCCTGACCACCTAGCCCCTCTCCCCCACCCATAATAGTGAAAGGACTTGAAGAATACATGATAAGCAAATTTTAGACTCCAAATGCATCTGAGGCAAGCTCCACTACTTAATAAATTGGGAGGGCTATGGCACAGAAGAATGATCTTGGGAACCAGCTTACCATGTTCACACCCCTAAACTAGTACAAGATTTCCATTAGAAGTATCCAGAAAAGCCAGGTCTCAGGCCTTCTGGAAGATAACCCCGTAAAGTGTGAGCATACTGTCAGGGATTCTGATTTAGCAGGCCTGGCTGGGCCAAGCACTTGAGTTACTATACCTGCCCCTGATCCCTGGCAAATGCAACTGCTCCAGTTTTGTGCAACCAGGCTGGCTGCTGAAGTCAACATGCACCCTTTTTAGACACACCTGCAGAACTATGTCGTAGGCATGCCTTGAGACAGCCTCAGTCTTTTCTGGCAAGCCTTGTGTTCACTGCTCTTCCTAGTTGTCCTTACTTCTGATTTGTCTTTGGCTTTTCCTGACCCTGATCTTGGATCTCACCTGAAATGGTACTGGCTCTGCCCTAGCATCCTTGGTTTTTCTAGCATCCTGACTTGGCTTGGCTTCCTAAACCCTGATCTTGGATCTTTCCTGGAACTTGGCACTAATTCTCTAACCTCTGGCTCCTGACCTTGGTTTGTGTCTCGGATTACGTTTCTCAGATCTCTTCTCTCGGCTCCCCTGGAATTTGATCCCATGCTCCTCATTCAGGTAACCTGTGCCCCTGCTGTACTGACCTCCTAGTTGCCCCTCAGGGCCCATCCACAGGCCTGGCTGCCTATGTTCCAGCTGAACCCTCACACAAAGGCAACTATCTGCAATTTATATATGACATTTTTTTGCACTCTCATAATTTTGTTCATAAATAACAAGTAGCTAACAAATGCTGGCTAAAAGATACCAGAAAATGCCCAGTTCACTTCCTTTTAGAACAAAAATGGTATTCAGTTGCTTATGAAGTCAGTGCTCCAATACAGAAAGGCAGAAGGATAGATTTCCAGTGTAAATTAAACAATAAGATATGGCAAGATGTGAATTATTTCCTAATAATTCATAGCTAGATGAATTGTCAAGCATGAAGATGAAGTTCTTGTGTCATCATATCCTGTAGGTGTGAATTCTTATACTGTAAATCAGACAGGGAGTACTTTTTACTGTAATCATTGGGTATTTGGGGGTTAAAAAATAATCTCAAGTTTTAAAGATGAGATTGAGCAACTTTGAACCAGAGCAATTCTCTGCCTGTATAGGGGGAGGTGGGTTTGTTTTGTTTGCTTAACCATCAAATTTACTAATACTCTTGCAGCTAGGGTGCCTGCTGGGAGGCTGCTTCGACACGCTGTAATTACAGATTATTTGAGTCTGCTAGAGTGTGCTAATTTGTGTGCTCCAACCAGCCTCCATGTCTCAT